AGAGAGAGAGAGAGAGTATGTGAGAGAGAGAAAGAGAGCAGAAGCGATCGAGCCAGGTGGGTAACCAGCCTACATTGCTCTGGGCTTCCCCCCAGCACCACTCACCACTAGAGCTTGGGCTAAGGAATTGGCTCAGGCTGTGCTGGCCCCTTCACCTCTTGCCTACTTCCTCAGTCGGTGACTTTTACTTTCCTTATCTCATAAATGAATTTATCAATAGTCCCCCGCCTGGGAAGATTCGGGGATAACAGGGGATCCTGTGCCTAGAACACCTGGCCTGGGTCCTGCTAGGACCGGGTATGCAGCAGCCAGTTTTTCCTGCTCCTTTCCCTCCTCTCTCTCCTGGGAGCTGCCTTGCAGGCTCAAATTCCTATCAACAGCCCCGCAGCTTCTCATCGAGTTGCTGGAGGCTAGAATAAAATCCAGCGTGGGACACTGTGGGCCAACTCAAGAGTGGATCTCAGCGACCTCAAAGTGGATGGGTCACAATTGGGTTCTCTGTGGTTCAGACCCCTGACAAAAGTCTTACTGCAGAGGTGAACATTGGGAGGATTCACACAGCAATCCCAACCCCCCACTTCTCTCGAAAAGCCGAGGTGTGAGCATGGGCCGAAATGTGGGCCCCCAGTTTCTCGTGGCAGCTAGAGCTGAAGAGTAGAGGTCCTTTCTCTAGGAGACCTTCTCCATGGCCCCTCCTGCCCCCCTACTGGAGGCTCCCCTTCTTGTGGACACTGTTATCTGCCTGGTTCCTCTGAGGCTGTGAGCGTTTGAGGCAGCACTGCATTTCAGTGTGAAGAGCGGTGTGCTATCTTGATTAAAACCACCGTTCTGGAACCAGGGACAATGGGATCAGGAGGGGAGAGACTGGCCGGTTTCCCAGCTTGGATGCTGGGGGACTCAGACGCACATCTCCTTCCTCATCACTGCTCAGAACAGCTGCACCTAGCCCTGCTCAACAGTCAACCTGCCCAACGTGGAAACACTTTGCGTGTAAGCAAGCATGCTGTGACAACCTGGTTTCATTTCTAGGAATTCCAGCCCCGGACTCCCCCTCCCCCAACACACACACACAAACACACACACCACTGAGTCCGATTCTCAGCCATTTTAGAATTCAAAGTCAAATGACACTCGGGACAGGGGTCCAGATGGAGTACAGAAGGCTTTAGATCTGGTCACTAGTGTCAGAGGCAGAATTCCAGACCACCCAGGGAAACAGAGGCCCAGAGAAGGAAAAAGAGCCTTGCTCAAGGTCACCTAGCAATCGAGTTACAGACCAGGACTCCTGACCCTACCCCATCCACCCTGATCAGCACTTTTCTCACGATGGTACGGGCTGCCCATCTCTGTCTCTTCCCACTTTCTTATCTCAGTGCAGCAGAAGCCCTGGCTTTCTATCATCCAGGAATCTTGGGATCTTGGGCTCATAATTCTTCAAGCCTGGGGACACGTCAGTGGCAGGATGGCAGAGAGCGGATCAATTGGACTTGGACTTGGAAGGCAGAGTCTGGAGCCTCAGCTCTTGCACTCCATCCTTGTGTGACCTTGGCAAGGATGTCCCATCTCCAAGCCTCATTCCCTCCTCTTCTAAGCAGGAATTATTATATTAACCTCCACACAAGCGTCTTAGGAGAGATCCAGGAGATCAAGCTGGTAACAAGGTAATCAGTGGGCGTGGGTTGTGAGTGCTTAATCAAACAATGGTCACAGCATTGTAAATGCAAAGTCTCAAACTTCAAAGCCTAAGGAAAATGGGCCAGGTGTGATCAAAGAGAAGACAAATGGACACACTGGGGCATATCCCCCACCTCCCCCTTCTAAGGTGTCACAGGTTGAGAATGCTAGACCCAGTCTTTCTTTTCTTTTTAAGAAGCTAAAACTCTGGGATTTTGAAAGACTATGCAAGTCAAGCAAACCACTTCTGTAGACAAAAAAATGACCCAACGGCCATGAGTTTATTATCCTCACTTTATCCCAACTCCCTCACTTGACCCAGGGGTGTGTGCACATAGCTAGTCCTTTTATCCACGAGAACGAGGAGTTCAGGGGACCCATGATCAGCCACATCCCTGAGGCCTCCTGCCCCATGGTCATCACTTTCCACACTTAGAGAGAAATCACTTTATGTTCAGGAAATGCAAGAAGTAGCAGTTCCTAACAAGGGGAGGAAGTGGGACTTGAGGTTGCCTTTAAGTCCATGGGCAGCTGACTTTAGACAGAAGCCAAAAGGGGACAAAGTTTTGGCTACCAAGAATAGGAAGTTACCATTTCAGAATCTAAAAATATCTTTCACCATCTGTCCACTCCGGCACAGGATAACAAATGCAGATTAGTTCCTGGATGTAGACATGAATATTTTTGTGTGTCAAGCTAATGATAATAACAACACCTTGTATGGAGAGAGCCCCTCCCCCTCCTGTTTTCCCCCACGGCAAGCTAAGTGGAATCTGCACCATCTTGGCAGGCATAGATGGGGAAACCAAGGCGGAGAGAGATTTAGCAACAGGACAAGCATGACACAGCCAGGGAGCAGCTGGCACAAGCCCTGGGAGTCCTGTTCCCAACCCCAGCCAAGAGCGAAATCTTCCGGGCTAGGCAGCAGGCATTTCTAAGTAGTTGGAGAACTAGAACAGCAACGTTCACCCTTCACATCTCTAGAGTGGCTTTTCCTATGCTCTCCGTCCATCTGTCCTAATCACGATAATTCATTACATCCCTAAAACATGGTCCAGTGTGCAGGGCCCTCCCTCAGACTCTCTCTCACCTGAACATCCCAACCCAACCCAACCAACCCAAACTCATTGCCATCGAGTCAATGCCGACTCATAGCGACCCTATAGGACAGGGCAGAATTGCCCCATGAGTTTCCTAGCCTGTAATTCTATACTGGAGTAGAAAGCCCCATCTTGATCACCCCAACAGGTAAGAAAAATGTGATGGTCCGCCAATGAAAAGAGAATGCTGGGACTTGCTCTCCCTCATTGTATAGGCAAGAGAACTGGGTTTTAGAATGAGAAGGGATTGTCCCAAGATCACATAGGAAGCAATTTCATCTTGTCATGAAATTAACTGCCAGTGGACAGGAGCCCCTCAACGGCTTGAGCAGCCCAGGTTTAAGGGGAGCCCTAGGTCTAGAGTCTAGAGTCCCCCCTCTCCAGTCCCCCCTCAGTGCTGGCAGAGGAAGAAACCTGGCCGTGGCCACCTTGACCAAGCCTCGGCTTTGCCTTGCCAGCCTGAGATTAAAGGGCAGCTAGCGGCCATTTAATCTTAGGTTCAACAGCCCCAATCCCCCTGGTCCTATAGAAAAGGGGGGGGGAGGATTGTCAGCAGTGCAAGGGGGAATCTCAGGATGCAGAAGGAGCCAGAAAACTTCTTAGCTGGGTTTAATGCATCCTTTCCCAAAGTCTGAGAAGTTTGGGTGGGATCTTCATTCAGCTGTCTCAAATGTATGTCTCTCCGGGGAGGTTGGAACTAGGCTGGGATTGGGAACTGAGAATCTTTGAAAGCAGAAAGGGACTTCTAAGATCCTTCCTAAACATAGGCTCGGCAGCCAGGAAGAGAGGGGTGGGGTGGGCCTGGAGGGAGTCCTGAGGCTGGGCTTCAAGTAATACACTCACACTCCTCTCCACCTCCCAGCCCCCCTGAGCTCTGGGGCCTCTCTCTCTCTCTCTCTCTCTCTCTCACACACACACACACAGACACACACACACACACACACGCTTAAGGTCGCCTCTCCCTCAGGGAGGAGGGAGGGCATAGGGGTGTGTTAGGGCTTGTAAGGTGACCAGACGTCCCGCTTTTTAACAATTTGTCCCACATCCCGCGGCGTTTTTAAAAAGTCCCGATTTTTGGAAAGAATGAACGACAAGCTACGGTATACGGCTTTCGGCCGCCATGTGGCTATTTCGCCAGGATATGAGTTTTATCAATGGTGTCCCGCTTTGCCAGTGTTAAAATCTGGTCACCTTAGGCTTGGGGGCAGAGGTCAAGGAGGCTCGGGCAGAGAAGAGCTCATAGTTGCAATAAGGTGGGGCGTGGCTGAGGTCCAGAAGGACCTCCTGGAGGGATCGTAGCCCCGCTGGCGGGGCAGGCCGCCCTGGGACACCCCCACCCCCCGGACTCTGCTCTCTCCACCTGGGATTCTCCTACCTCCAGACCTGGCCGAGCTGCAGGAGGTGGACGAGGGTCTGCAGCAGCCACACGCAGAGGCGGCAGCAGCGGCGGCGGTAGGCGCTGGCCGCGGAGGAGGGCGCGGGCCGGGAGCCCACCTCGGGGCTGCCTTCTTTGGTCCGGAAGGCGTTGGCGCTGTCCTTGGTGCTGATGGCGGAGCCGCCGCCGCTGTCCTTGGTGCTGACGACGGGTCCCGGGGCCCCCGCCGGCTCCGTGTAGTCGTAGACGAACCAGCGGAAGCTGAGCAGCTGCACGACCAGCGAGGGCAGGAGCACGAAGAGCAGCGTGAGGCCGAAGTAGGTGCGCTGGCCCTGGATGTAGTAGGAGGCCGCCAGCCACAGGTCCGTGGCGCCGTCGGAGAAGAACACGAGCAGCGCGCACAGCACCCAGCAGCAGTCCCGCAGCTCGTAGCGCGGCCCCGAGC